CCTTGACCTCCCACGACTAGTAATATGATGCAACAACATTCAAAACCAATGTTATGGACATTTGTTTGATCCAATTTTTAAAATATACACTCTTTTCTATTGTAATGAACAATCACAAAAAAGAAAAATTTGAAAACACAACCTACAAAGTAATTTTTTAGCCCAATTAACATAGTTCATTTTGGTGAGATGCTTAAATCTAGACCTTAGAAGGATATTTTCATTTCCAATTTTTTTGGATGGCTTTATTATCTTTAGATGAATAATGCTCAAAAAGAAGAAAATGATTGAATTTATAAAGGCTAAGATATTGAAATTCACCAAATGAATGGTCTAGATTCGTTTTTGGAGGGGACTCATTTCGACCATATCTAGGGTTCAAATTGAACTTTTGTTTTTTGAGGCTTGATTATTGAGATGAAGAGAGTGTGTATGTAAAATTTTGGGTCATACAAATATCACAAACATGGTTTTCTAGAACTGTCGTTGCATGAAATCACTGCACATATATCTATCTATATATATATATATATATATGCATTTGTCCAGAGTTAATAACCCCTCAAAATACAAAGGTTAATACTAGAAGGGGTTGTGATGGGTGTATTTATCAAAATGATCATTACCTTTTTGTTAAAAAATTATTTCAATAGGTAACTTAACCATTAAACAAGGGCAAATTTGAAATTTTTACAAGAGCGCAATCGCATTTTGGAAGTTAGTGTCCTGGAACTTTATTTGTAGAATGCCCTTGTCGTGTAGTAAAAATTTCAGTTTTACCCCTTATAGAGATAACAAAAGTACCTCTTGCCTTGTAGTGATATTTACAAAATTACCCTTACTTAATGATGAATATATCACAAAAAGTAACTTTTTAAAAAAAATGAACTACAAAGTTAGTAAATCCACCCTTCACAACTCATTCTATCATTAACTTTTGGAATTTGCAGGGTTGTGAACTTTAGATTATCCCACAAATATATATATATATATATATATATATATATCCCTTCAATCATTCGATTCATTGAATGGATCATACCAATAAATGAATATCATCGAGATAATAGCAGTTTCCAGGTTGGTTCAATGTAGATTTACCGTTCTCGAATGATTTTGAAGGCTTCCTTTGTTGCATAAAGTAATCCAGTCTTTGGGTCACGATACCTGCATTATTAATACAGAAAACCAATAAAGATCATTTCCTTTTTCTATTTTAGCTTAAATGAATCAATAAGAACATTTCACTAACTAAATAACCCATTTTCACGTTCTAGAATTGTACTAGTAGGCTTGTAAAAATTGCGTTAATTGAAGAGGTCAGGTGGCCTTTGCTCCCCTGTACTACTTATGATAGCTGAGGACGGTCTCTAGGCAGAGGTGGTCAGGGTGGCAGGTGCCACGAAGTGACATCTATAGTTCCATTCTCATCAGGTCCCAAGTTTAACATTCAAACTTAGCAAAAAAAGAAACTTATGATAACTGAGGATAGGAGGAAAAAAAGAAAAGACATTTCATAGACAATTTCTGAAGGGGAAAGCCATAGAATCCATGGATGCAAGTCAATGTATTTGCTTTTCAAAGTTGAATCCAACAAGCTTTTCCAGTTTAACATCTAATATGTCTACTCCAAATATGTTTGAGCTCATCATGGTATTCCCATTTCTAAAAACACAGTTACATGAAGTAGATTTTTCATTTCATTTACACTACGATCTCAGGGTACTGATATCCATAAATACCACAGCCAGGTCATAAGTCGCACAATTTGTGGGAAGTGTAGCATATATAATGAGATTCTTTTACAATTTCATAGGCTATGAACAAAGGCAGTAGTTCCACATTGTGCCTCAAGAAAGTATACTCCTTCACTTCTCTCTTAGAAATGAAAATCAATAGCTTAGCAATTTAGTGAAGAACATTACAATAAACAAAGATAATCAAATATTAAGCGCTTAACAATTTTTCGAAGAATATAAAAAATAAAAACCCATTTTCCTAAGAATCCAAATAAATATTAAAAACATGGTAGCCTCTCATAATATTTGCAAAACCCAAGGGACTTACTTAGCTGGCATTGACGTAATTGCACAGACAGCTGGTTCAGCATCTGCAAAAAACACCAAGAGTGCATTAAGATAACGGTATTTATAATTGTGATTCGAGCCTGCACCTATAGGTCCGATCAGAATAATTCATTATAAAGTGGCAAATAACTATGCAAATTGAAAAACACAATATAGTTTGCAACTACCATGGCAAATCAAATCTGAAGTGCAATGAAGAGATTATTCATCCTCAGTCGGAAAGATGCCAACATATGCGCAAAAACTGACATATTAGTAGCTCATGTGGCAAAAAATCATATGGCCAAAGAATTACACTACGAAGTTAATAATATATGATATAAATGCAATGATCGCCCTTTTTGGAGAGAATGATTAGTACTATTGTCCGTAAACTACCTCATTGGATCTTGCGTTATTTTGCCTCTAGCAACCATAAGCCTCAATGTCAAGTTTAATTTAAGGACAAAGTTATGGTCAGTATGCATTTTAGTGTACATCTTGCCTCCGATCATGTGGCCAAAAAGGAATTACAATACGAAGTTAATAATATATGATATAAATGCAATGGTCGCCCTTTTTGGAGACTGATAAATACTATTGTCAATAAACTACCTCATTGGATCTTGAGTTATTTTGCCTCTAGCAATAGAAACCATAAGCCTCAATATCAAGTTTCCAATTTAAGGACAAAGTTATGGTCCACATGCATTTTAGTGTGCATCTTGCCTCCTATTATATATAGGGTAAGATTTGTATAAGGTGCCATCCTTATACTATAGAAGTAAGGCGCACCTTTAAAATTTTCTTGGAGATATAGTTCCCGTGTCGGAAACTTTATGATGGCTTGAAAATCTATTTTTATCCTTAGTTATGAAATTTAAAAGTTTAAAAATAGCACCGATTGAGTAGATCTATAAATATTTCAAAATCTTAAAAGTAGACGGTTTAGATAACTTGTGACAAGATTCACTATTTCTAGGACTTGAAATTCTTCAAGGTTGAGATGATTAATTGGAGGATTCTCCAATGTTGGAACACTCACTTCTAGAGGATTTTTGTGGTGCACCCTACTTCGATAGTATATTGTTGCAACCTTATATAAACATTTTCCACAAAAATATGGTGAGATTGATATAAGGTATCAACATGTTTGTGGAGGTAAAAAATACACGTGGAAACCGCCACGGACCATGCGCTATCTGTTGTGGCTCCGTTCAATAAACTGCCACGGGGGGCGAAACACTGTTCAAAATCGCCTATAGGCGTTTTTAAGTGTTTTCCTATATATGTATATATATATATATATATATATATGGGAAAAGCAGAGGTTAGCCTATTAGCTAACGTTGCAGTGTTAGCCCAACGACTCAGATTGAATTTGGGCCTATCCAATAGTCACGAATGTATTTCGTATTTGAGTTTTAATATTTTTTTTACAAATCCAAATGACTTGAAATTATGAGAGTATTATTTAAAAACAAGAGAATCTAATAAAATATCAAAAAAGTAATTCACAAAATATAAATTCACCAAAATACCTCTGCAAACTTTGCAGGGGTATTTTGGTCAATTTATATTTTACGAATTATGTTTCAATATTTTTATTAAGTGCACCTTGATGAGAAGAATAGACGCCTAAAATTTCATGTGATTTGGATTTATAGAAAAAACATTAAAATTATATTACGAAATGAGGCCGTGACCGTTAGATTGGCCTAGAATGTTGGGCTAACGTTGTACTTGTTAGCTAGTGGGCTAACCTTAGCTTTTCCATATGTATGTATGTATATATATATATATATAGGAAAAAGTTTATACAAGGTTGTAACCTTAAAATGTAGAAGTAACGATGGGCCTAAAAAATCTTTCAGAAAAGGTTGTTTTAATGTTGAAAAATGCCCTAATTGATCATCTCGACATTGAGATGTATGAATATGGAAAAAAGAAGATTTTAAGTCCCAGCGAAAGTGCATATTGCAACACACTATCTTGAACGTCCATTTTCAAGATTTTCATATGTTTATAGATCTACTTGATTTTAACCATTTTTGGAGTTTAAAATTTTATAATTAGATATGAAAATAGATTTTAAGATAATTCTAATAACATTTTACACCAAAATTACATGTCATGATAAAATTTGGAGGTGCACCTTAATTGGATTGTTTAAGGTTGCAGCCTTGTAGAAACCACACCCATATATATATATATATATATATATATATATA